TATACACTTTAATGGATGACGGCTTCAATCCAGAATGGTGCAATTCCAGGAGGAACTGAAGAATTTGTTGAATGGATGAGAGTGGAAAAACATTTCCATTTAGCCTTATATGACTTCCTTGTGGACGGCTTTAAGGCAGAGTCAATGATATGCTGAATAGCAGGGTGCAAAAATGTCGGATTCAGATTCGACGGGTCTTGTCTCGAACCGGATGGTACAGAGAGACCAGAGAAAAGGGAAGCACCCGAGTGATTGGATTCGACAATTGGATCCGAGTTGGTCGAAGTCATCGTCGGTACCGATGGATTAGCAGAAGCTGTCGGATTCGTAACTCTGTCGTTGGCACCAATGGAATGTCAATCATTGAATTTGCCATGCTGTCAGTTCAATGAGAGCAAGTCCGGGTGGTGAAGTGTGCCGTCCACCTGTGTTATAAGATATGGGAGCGATGGAAGATGAAGAAATTCCCTGTGAGAGATGTTGAGTAGTTTCGCAAACCACGCTTGACGTGGCCACCAAGGGGCAACTAGTATCCCCGATGCCCGGTCGTGCACTATCTTTGCTATGACCCGCATCAGAAGAGGGATCGGAGGGAAGGCATAAAAGTTCATATTGTTCCAAGGGATCATGAATCCCCTAGGGATGCGTGTCCGATTCCCGCTCTCGAACAGTAAGCCTCGCACACCCTGTTCTGTTGGGTAGTGAATAAGTCCATGTCGGGAAACCCCCAGCGCCGGAAAAGGTGGTTGCGCATATGAGGATCCAATTCCCACTCATGAGAGGTGAACATGTGCCTGCTGAGAAGATCCGCCTGCACGTTGTCTACACCAACTAGATGAACAGCCATCAGTGTGATGTGTCTCTGGATGCACCAGTCCCAAATTTTCATAGAAAGTCTGGCTAGAGTTGGTGACTTTGTTCCCCCTTGCTTGTTCAGATAAAGACGGTAGCTATATTGTCCAAAGTTATCTCAACTATCTGATGATGAAGGATGTCCTCGAAAGAGCGCAGGGCCTTGAAAACTGCCAGTAGTTCTAGGAAGTTGATATGATTCGTGGATTCTCGATGATTCCACGTACCCTGGGTAGATAGGCCGGAGCATATCGCTCCCCATCCTAGAAGAGACGCATCGGTGCCAAGGGTTATTGTAGGAGGTCGCACCCTGAAGGGGACTCCTATCGTAAGATTGGTCAGTTCCAACCGCCAAAGCAGAGAGTGAAGCATGGAAGATGGGATCCGAATCAGTCTCCACTGCGGATCTCTTTGAGGATGGTACACCTTGTTGAAAAAGAGTTGCAGTGGACGAAGCCTGGCATGTGGAACTACGGCAACTGAGGAAGCCATATGCCACAGGATCCTCTGGATAGACTTTGCCAGGACCGTTCCATCTCATTGGATTCAATGGATGTGGCGAGCAAGAGTCTGTTGTCTGTCCTGAGGGAGGAAGGCTTTTTCCAGCGTCGAATCCAAGCGGGTTCCAATGAAGGTGAGTGTCTGGGTCGAAAGAAGAGAAGATTTCTCGGTATTAATACGTAGGCCTAGGCTATTGAGCAAGGCACAAGTTGTATGGATGGCCGCAAGGAGTCCTTCTCTGGACTGCGACACTAACAGCCAGTCGTTGAGGTGTGGATAAATTTGTATGCCCTGGAGGTGTAGAAAGGCACAGACAGGAGCCATGCACTTGGTAAAAACCTTCAGAGCCGTAGCCAGTTCAAAAGGCAAAACTGTAAACTCATAAAGTTGGGTTGCAACCACAAAACGAAGGAAACGCCTGTAACTTGGGTGAATTGAAATATGGAAGTGGGCGTCCTTCAAGTCCAATGAGGCGAACCAATCCTCTCTCCTTAGCAATGGCAAAATGTTTTGAAGGGTAGTCATATGAAACTTTTTCGGTACAATGAACTTATTTAAGTTCCATAAGTCCAAAATCGGACGTAGACCACCATCCCGCTTAGGGACCGTAAAGTATCTGGAATAGAATCCGTAGAGTCCGTCAGATGGGAATACTTGGCGAATCGCTCCTTTACGAAGAAGTTGATGTATTTCGTCGAGCAGTACCGGTGAACATGAAGTGGACCAGATCGGACTCGGCGGAGGAACGATGTCGAATTCTATTCGATAGCCGTGTTGAACGATGGACAATACCCACCGATCAGATGTGATGGAATCCCAAATGGGGAGTCGGCTTCGAAGCCGATCCCCAGATGAGAGGGGGGTGGGTATTGGTGGAGTGTGAGGAATGGTTCGCCAGTCCCGTCAACGTTGCCTCTGATCGTCAAAATGACAGCAGCCTTGTTGGAAGCGTTGCTGGGGCTGCGGACGGTGGTGCTGCTGTTGCTGTTGGTGTTGTGGCTGTTGCCTCGGTTGATATGATTGCCTGTAGGATGGACGATTCCAGGACCACTTACATCTGGCGTGGGACTGTATCTCCATCCTGCGTGCCGTCATCCTCAATTCATGCAGCTTCTTGAGCTTATGGTCGGTGCGAGAATGGAAAAGCCTGGATCCATCTAAAGGCATTTCCTCTATCCGGCGCTTGGTTTCTTCCGGAAAATTGCAATTCCAAAGCCATGCATGCCTTCGGAGAAAAACGGCACCGACCAAGGCCCGTGAGTCAGTAGCCACGTGGTGCCTCGCCGTGGATAACTGCTGCACCGCGACCTGCATGGCTTCCTTAATCAGGACCTTCGCGAGGTCACCCTGGTGGTCTGGGATGGTGGAGGCGACGTTGTGCAGGCGCTGCATAATGAAGTATCGATACCTCGCTGACATCGCCTCGTAATTTGATATGCGGAGCCCCAGGCCTGAAGCAGCGTAGACTCGCCTAGCCAGGGAGTCTATTTTTCGGCCCTCCTTGTCCCTCGGTGCCGTGTGCCCTCTTACCTCTCTGCCCTGCGAGGATTCGACGACCGCAGAGTTCGGTTTGGGATGTTGGAGGAGGAAGGGGATGTCCTCCTCCCGAACCCTGTACATCGACTCATATCTCCTGGACGTCGGTTGAGGATGTGATGGCAGGTCCCAGGGCTGCATCATCGCCTGCCGCAAGGTGGTTATGAGTGGCAGGACGATAGATGTTGACTGCTCCCCGTGGACGACATCGTAGAACTTGTTCGTCGTCGTTCCCAGGCACTGGGCAGCGTTGATGTCAAGGGACTGGACAAGTCTAGACATCAGCTCCACGAAGGAGACATGGGGCTCATCAGGTGACGCAGGACCCTGGGATGTCACAGCGACGTCCGGGGAGGTTGAGTCGGCCTCCGAGTCAGCCAAATCGGCACCGTAGTAGGGTGGGGCTGAAGATGACGACTCCGCCAGGGAGAAGGAGCGGCTGCTTCCATCCTGTGGGGATCGAGGTGATGCCCGCCTCGGATCCGATGAGCGCAGTAGATCACGGGATGGAGAGGATCGTGCCCTGGGAGCAGGGTAGTACCCTACGGAGAGCGGATCACCCCAAGTATGGTAGTAGGGGCGATGCCAGCTCTCTGGACATTGCTCTACAGAGCGGCTCCTCCGGCTCCCTGGTGGGGACAGTCCAACGTCCGCTTCCATAGTGACCACGGGCATGGGTGTCGGTGACCTCGCCCTAGGAGGGGAGTCTTGGATTTCCCCGTCGGATACTGAACCCCATAGAGTTGGAAGGGGCGCAGGCGGGAGGTCAACCGCACGGCGGGGAGACCCTTGAGAGGTAACCTGCATAGCCTCATGGAGGACCGGTTGGGGCGGAGTTGGTATCATAAGCGTCACTGGTACCGAGGGGCCCATTGGTTCTGAGTCCCGATGTTGGGGACAGTCCGGACGGTCCGAATTCCTGGGTTTTTTGGGAGGCTTGGAGACTTTCTCCTTCCTGGCCTTTTTATGGCCTGCCGACTTCTCGGATTCGGAATGCTTCCGCTTCTCGTGCTTCTTTTTAGGTGAAGCAGAGGGAGCCACCGAAGCAGACGCACCTTCATCCGAAGGCCGTGAGGGTGGGGCCACAGAAGCAAAGCCAGGTTTTGGGATGGCGATAAGCGGGTCCGATTGCATTAGGGCCCGATCCCAAAGGAGTCTCCGGAGGGGGTTTTCGCGGTTCTTCCTGGCCTGCTTGGAGAAGGCCAGGCAATGCATGCATTTATCTATCCTATGCCCCTCTCCCAGGCAGAGGAGGCATAGGTCATGCGGGTCAGTTGGTGCCATTTTTGACCCGCAGTCCGCGCATTTACGGAAAGCCGCTCGCTGCGCCATCGTAGAAGAAGACGACGACGAGAGAGACAGTGCAGAGGGTAAGTATATATTTTTGGTTTTGTGTGTTTTTTTTTTAGATAGATAGATCGAAAGAAGAAATAACAAGAGAAAAAACTACGCGGAACAATAAACTGGGAGCAAGGAGAAGAAAACTGGGAAAAGAAGGACAATCGAGAGCAAGGTAACAGTCGAAGCGAAAGTTGAAAGAGGCATGAGGTACAGTGAACGGCGGTCGCAAAGACTGAACAAAATGGCAGACGCTCCGCTCTTTATAGGCTACAGGGGGGAGGGGGAGCGGAGCTTCCCGCCAAAAACCGTTAGCTGACAATCTTCTGGCCACAGGCACTGCGCAGGCGCAGTACCCATATGTGTGATGCACAGAGGCCACGACGAAGAACACCCATTCCAATTTTTTAATACTCCCCATGTTCAATTTCTCGATAGGCTAAATTTTGTTTTAACATACACAAGGCTTTGTTATCATGCATCTAGTACTTAAACATACATACGAAACAACTCTTCTACATGATTAAAGTAACAAGCATTTTACTGTTCCGAGACGAATGACCGAACACTTCCACTTTTTAACTAAAAATACAATGCATGGATTATGGACAAGTTTTGATAATATCATGGTCTGCATATATATAAAATTAAACTGGAGCTGGCTCTTTTGTATATTCTTTGTTTCAGTAAATAAATTAAAATATTTCTTAAAAGTTGAAGCAGTAAAATAGAATAAAGTAAAACAGAAAAATGGTACTCAAAAAAGATCTTGCCTGCAGCTTGGGGAAAGCCAATGGCAGGAGCAAAACCAGCAGTCCCTGCATATGGTGAAGAGATGATACCTGGAGTGCCTACAGAGGGAAATAAATTAAGATTAAAATAAATTAATTCCCTACCAAACCAGAAAGCACTCAAGCTCCTCAAAAGATCTCGTTAGCCTAACATTTTTTCATAAGTTGGACATGTTCATTCAGTGCCTCTAATCATCTGACTCCACAAGTGCGGGTTTGCCCCACTTCAGTCCACATAGGCATTTATGGAATCACTACTAACCATGCAGTTTGCACAACCATTTTCACCATGTCCTAGTTTCCCGTGAGAATATGGATTTCACAAATATGCAGGTATCTGAGGGCATGCTTCTGTGGTATTTCACTGAAAAACCAAAATGGAAGTGCAGGAACAAGCCATGCATACAAGACCTTCATTTTAAAAATGGACTTAAAACTGTAGGTGTTTCTTTATACTTAAATAAAGACACTTAAAATATCTTTGAATACCTAAATGGAACCACAGCTTTAAAATAGTAATAAAAACTCCTACAAAAACCTAGGAGAAAAGTTGAAGACTCATCAGTGAGAAATTATCCTGAACAAAGCAACTAAGTTAGCTAAATTTCCTGATGCATGTTCGCACACATTAATTGCAATTTTTCTGAAATTAGAAGCAAACTGTCCGGTTAACAGCTGCAAGCTGTCCTTTGATTTGAAAACTCAGAAGCTTCCTTCACCTCTTATCTTGAGTCACAACATGGCCGTTAGACAATTACTGCAGACCACTATATATTTTGCATTTATAATACATGCACTGGCATCATGACTAGTATTGGTAATATAGGTATTAATCATTTATTCACAGCTGTGATTTCCATTATAATTTATTATACAAACATCAACAAAGAGCTTATTCAGCTCAATGGGGCCTGCATGAATACTGATACCAAATACATACAATACCCACCATCTTCACCTAGAATAGCAAGAATTCAACCACACCACAAACACCTTTGCTATAAGTCACTGAACTGGCTTTCCTAATGAAATAATTAACCTATTAAATATGGTAATCTGGGCAAGAGTATTTGAAGAGTAATAGGAATAAGTTCTCTAAGTAATAGGAATAAGTGACCCCCACCCCTACCCGCCTTACCAGAACCAATTCTACATACCTGCCACTCCTATTTTTTTAACCTGTGGATAGAGTGCTACTATGGCTACCCAGTGTATTTTATCTACTGCCATTATCACCAAAACAGAACAGAAAGTATTACATTTCAAGTTTTACTGAATTTCCAAGTTTAGAATGACCCCACTCACAAAAATAGAAATGTGGTGTTTTGTGAATTCTCTGGAATTATATAGCTTCTGCCAGAATAGTACTGATGCGGTATTCCTAAATGCAAGACTCTGACACAATGTATGAACCAATGCAATTATGGGATGCTTCATACTAGATGAAAACCTGATGAGCCAACAAAGCCAAGTGCACATCTGAGACCAACAGGGTGGTTTTTTTTTTAAGCATCTTTGTTCTGCTTAGTTTTGGGATTGCTCAGCTTTTTTATTTAAGCTAGACTTTATTCCAACTAGTCAGGAGAGAGTAGGCTAGTTGGTAAAATATTTTTAAATACCTTCCTATAGGAGGAGAAGTTTCTACTGCATCACAACAAAGTCATAGTAAACACCTATAAGTAATTTTTGTATCAGTTCAGCTTACAATAGAACATTCAGCTTACAATAGAACAAACTAGTTTGGAATCAATGAGTGGTATTCAATCCTATCTCTGCACTTTTGCAGAGTATGTTGGGCCAGCAGAACCCCATTGCCTTTGCAAAAGCTCAATGAGCTTAAAAATAAGCTCACTAAATGATTTAAAACACTAATTTATGGAATGGAACAGATCCTTCCTTCTCAGCTGACCTGTTCTGTCCCAGAAATGATTGTTTTGGTTGAGGTAGTGCTAGCTTCCCATTGTACTAGCAGTGAGTCTGTTGGCATAGAGGCACCATTGGATAATATCCAAATTCTTTCCAAAACTTTCTTTCCAGGTGATGAAGATACAATACTGAAACAGTGTTACTACACTTCACATTGCCTTTCAATGCAAATAAGAAATCTCCACATCCCAGTAGTAAAAGGTAAAAGCAATTTGTTCCATCCCTTAGTTATTAACAAAGAGTTCTCACCAAAAGCAGCTGCCATAGTGGGGTCAAGGGAAGGCTGCCCATCCCCTGAAGGAAGGTCCAAACGAGTAAAGTCTCTGCTTTTATCATTGTTATATTTTACATTAAGGCTTGTTAGCTTGGAGAAATCAATACGAAGAGTACAGCAAGCATTATAGATATTTTGACCATCAAGAGCCTACAAGAAGACAAAAAAATTAAATGAAGGTCATGAAATCCTAATGTTTAACCACATGTTAGCAATCTACAGCTATATGCAAATCAATCTTTATGAGGATCTTGAACAAACTTTGTGCTGAACAGAAGGAGCAGGCAGACAGCTAGCTCACATTCTTATGTCACTGTGTGCTTTTTTAAGTCCATTTTCAATGTACATTATAGTGTTAAGGAACTGTGATTCATACAGCATATTACTATGAAATTCTTTCAGCTTTGAGATAAATGGCTTCTAAGTCCAAAGGGAATAAATTGCATTCATTTTAATCTCTGAACTGGTCATACTTATTGTACATAATTAATACTCTTCTAATTAGAGTATGTGCTATCAGTCATATATAACTATAATACTGAAATCTGGAGTTTACAAGTTACAGAGTAAAACTGGTTAGAAACTATTTTGCAGTTAAATGAACCTCTTACACTTGATTGATTGATTTATATCCTGCCTTTTTCCTACAAAGGGCTCAAGGCAGCTTACATCATTCTCCTCCTCCATCTCATCCCCACAACAACAACCCTGTGAGGTAGGTTGGGCTGCAAGTCTGTGACTGGCCCAAAGTCACCCAGTTGGCTCCATGGCCGAGCGGGGACTAGAACCCAGATCACCTGAGTTCCAGTCCCATGCTCTTAACCATTACACCACACTGGCTCTCCATTATCCAACCACTTTGGGCTGCTGTTACTATACAAAGGCAGAACTGTGTTGACAGTAATTGCACTGCAGTGCGTTCCAGAGTTATCCCTGGAATGGCATAGTTTACCAACTCTGATTAGGACACTCCAAAGTAATGCGGAAAGTAATGCGGAACATACTGTTAACATGAAGTTCAGATTCAGAACACATCACACAATTATGCACTTACCAATTTGGCATAATGTGCATTCACTGGATCAGCATATTGAAGCAAGGCCTGAAATTGATTGTTCTTGGTGAATGTGATAATCTTCAAAACAGTCCCAAATTTGGAGAAGATCTACATAAGAATTCAGCTAGTCAATTCATTGCTTTCCACAAAACAGTTAAAAGTCAAACCGCATGAATAATCCACGTAATCAAGCTAGTTTCTAATCTTATAGGCATGGTGTTAAGACTGCTACTTTTGCATATTGTAACAAAATTATTGTGAATGGGTTCTCTACATAGAAACTATATCACTATATAGTTTTATTGTTCAGTTACACTACTACATAAACTGTAATGGAAAGAACAGAAAAAATCCACTTGATCATTAGGTGTTTTTTGTAAGAATATATTAAACATATATTTATATAAATGTTTAAGGGTACTATGGCATTGACAGCACATTCAAATGAATACATAAATAACTCATACTAACCCTGGATTAAACTGCAAACCTAACCCTAATGGTATCTTAATAGAGTTTATTTCAGTTTCAGGTCTGTCTTCTAAGCCTTACATTACTAGGTTTCTGCAGGAAGATTGTTCTTTATATACATCAATGGGCAAAAGTGGCTACTTTAGAGACTGTATTGGGAAGAGAGCACCAGGAAGCCTGTATTCTGAGTGCATAAGCATGACCCACTGACCACATCACCGCTGCAATCACCTGTGATCTCTACAAACATGCACTCTTTCTAGCAAGTAACCTTTACCTGATACTCTCCCCTTGTCAGGAACTCCTTTATGCAAAATCACTCCTGTTTTAGGGACATGGGGTGGAAGTGCCTGCCATGGTGTTTTTCAGTGCCAAACACATTATTTTTTAAAGATACCTTTAAAATAATATTTCATTGAAATTTACCTGATATAGCACTTCTAGAGATACAGGGTAGAAGAGATTTTCAACTATAATTCGAAGAACAGAACTCTGACCAGGAGGTAGTCCACCTTCGGTAGCTGGAGCAGCTGTAAGGGCCAAGCCTCCGGATTGCACAGCATTCACTGCTTGCAGTGCAGCTTGAGCTCTCTAAAAGAAATGGGAGAAGAAACTTGACTCACAATTTTGTAACAATTTTCAAACAAATTGCACAATGACATAAATCCTCCAGAAAATTATAGAACTTAAAGACATCATCTTAACATTTTCTCTCATTTTCTCTCAATGCACACATTGACCATGTTTGAATGACATATCACTCTCATGTGTTGCTACCTATAGTGGGTTGTCATGTCATGTGAACTCAGAACAGTTTCCCCACAGTACTTGTTGCCACCGCAACAGCTTGTTGTATTGTGTCTGAACCCAGGCCACTGATCCCATTATACGTGTGGGCACACTGTTACATAGCTCCTTGGAAAGAGCAAGCAAATATCCTTGCTGTTCTTGTCAACCAGTTCCTAGGCATCCACCAATGCCAGCCACCTCCGAAATGCATAAGTGGCCCCTGGGGGCAGCTGACACTACACTGGCACTCCCTGGCATTAGTGTGATCATGAACCATGCCCTGGCCTATTTTTATTTTTCTTGGAAATCACAATCTTATTCTGACAGCAACAGACAGTCTCTTCAGAGTGCCCCAATAACAACTTGGAAAAGCTGCCCACAGCTGCCCATTTTTTAAAAAAATGTAACTTTCACAAATATTTGTAAAAAAGGTTTTGTTTTTCCCTGCTTTCTCATACAACTTTGAATTTTTACATTTGCCTGGGTACAGAAATGAGAAGTTTTGGGTAAACTTGTGCAAGGAGTGCCTGCTGGTAAAACCCAGTAGCTGAACATTGTCCCATTTATTTATTTTTGGTTAAAGGTGACACTTGTCAAAAGGCAAGCTGCCAAGTGTAAGTCAAAGTGCAAGAGATCTTAGTTTGCAAAAAGTGTGTAGCAGCTTGTTCACCCCCTTCATGGAAAGATCTTTGGTGGGGGGGGTTGGCCTCCTGTCCCAAGGAGGCCATCACCTGTGCACATATTCCTAAGATTTTCCTTTCTCAAGAATGTACAAAAGTACTGACCATCCCACTTACAGGAATATTTAAGTTTGACAGCAGTCAAAATTAAATCTCCATTTTCTGAAGTAGAATGTATAAAGGGTTAAAAGATTTTTTGGAAGGGCAGGAAACTATATTGGCATATCACACACACACACACACACACACACACACACACACTCTATAACAGGTACATAAGCCTGTGTTTCTGACTTTTTAGGCATACGCATTGGTCCAAATCAATGTGCTACTTCCGTATTTTGTGCTCTATCCTACATTGGAGTGGAAAAGCAGTTGGTGTCTAGAGGTTGCTATGATTTAATTTTTTTTTAAATGTCCAGCCATATTATCAACTTCTGCCATGGCCTATCACTGAAAAATCCAAAGTTCTTAAAATACAGTGTTAAATAAGCACCTTGCTAGCTACCATATTCATTTAAGTTTATCAATACAGTATGATCATTTTAGGTAACTATATTATACAAAAGTATAAGCTGAGCCTTAGCTTCTTGAAATATGGAGGCTCTTTGTGTATCACATGTGCTGACTATTCTGCTGCTTCCGTAGTCAGGACATCAGTTTTCCCTAGAAAACAGATAATGAATGTTTTCTGAGCTGAAATCAATGCCTGGCTTGCTGCACTATCTATCAGGAATCTTGATTGCCAGTTCACTCTTTGATTGCTTTCCACTGGCATGTTTCTCTCTTCCAGAAGGCCTGTCAACTTGTTTTAATTCTAGTAAGTTTGATAATCTTAATCTACTGTATTGAGAATCTTAAGCTACTGTATTGTGTTTTCTTACTCATTCTATCATTTATGTTTTAAAGTTTTTTTTCTTATGATGTGAACTAACTTAGATGTGCATATATGGAAAAACAAAACAAAAAGTTCAATTGGAGTTTTCATGGCTTATGTGTATTTGAGCAATCTGTTTTTACAGGCTTGTTTTCCTCCTAAGTGCCTTGCTGAATCAGACCAATGACCACCAATCTAGTACTCTGGCAAGAGTCTCAGCTACAACACAGAGATGGGTGGAACCCTAGAATTTGGCCAGGGTTCACTAAAGAATGATCTGCCTTCTGCCCATCCCATTTTAGGATATGGAAGAAGTTGAATATTTTATTATTGTCTTCAGGAAAAAATAAAGGAAGCTGAATATTTTAGCAGCAGTTCAGGAAAAACATTTAATTGGAAAAATGCACTTTGTCCTAAATGCCCCATTTCAGCTTAGCAATGAAAATACTTTTGAGGTGTTGCCTACCCTCTTCCTTTTAAACTGCTCTGTTAAATACAAAAACTATTAGTAAACAAATTATTTATGACTGGCCATGGTATCCTTTTTATCAAATCTAAAGAGCTACTGACATTCCCAGCTTCATGTACAAAGACAGCAGAGTAACTGAAGCTCAACTACCTCTGCTTAAAAGCAAAAGATTGGCCTGCCCTGAGATATGAAACCTGAAGCCCTATGAAAATAGGATGTTTAGGTGACTCAAAAATATTAGACATATAAATAGCTTTGATAATGTGTTTTTGTGATGTATTTTTTCTTGAAACTATAATACTCACAGCCTGATTAGATAGATTGTCAGTCTTAAGTTCTCTGTGGTTGGAATACTGAATATAAACAGGCTGACTGCGGAGGTGAGGAGTAACAGGAGTGTAGTAGTTCACCATAGTAACAGCAGCTTCTTCTGAAGCCATTTCTAGGAAAGCCTGCAATTAACACAAATAGAGAAATGTTTTGTTAGTAAAACCACTTTCACTAAAAAAAAATAAAATAAAAAAAATGCAAATAACTGTATTTACAAACACACCAAACCATTTCATATATCTAAACAGTAAACTCTGGTATGAGTGATTTTGCAAAGTTATTTACTTCACTGCTATATAACAACCAAATTCAAATGCCATGAGAAATCAGTTTTCTACTACTTTCACAGGCCTTGGACTTCCAATCTCCATTTTCTTCCTCTTCTGTGAGTCAGAAGGAAGGGATGAAATGCTTCAGCTTTGATAATAAACCAAACTCTATGACAACCAACAGTGGGAATTATTTGTTTATATCCTGCCTTTGTTCTTTTCAAGAAACTCAAGACAGCTTACATAATCTTCTTCCTCCCCTTTTTATCCTCATGACAACAGCCCTATGAGGTAGGCTGTGCTGAGAGTCTGTGACTGGCCCAAAGTCACTCGGTTAGTTTCATGGCTGAATGGGGACTAGAACCTAGACCTCCTGAGTCTCAGCCCAGTTCTCTTAACCACTGCACCATACTGGCTCTCTGTTTAAAATTAATGACTGAGAACAAGCCAAGATCTGAAACTGTTTTTTCAAGACTTGCACATTTAACAGAAGCCATTTTTCATCTGAATCCAGCCTATCTTGCAAGTTCTAGCATTATTCTGTCAAAACCAAACCACCGCATAGAGCCAAACAAAAGCACATAAAAGATATATACAATGAAATTATTCTGAAATAGCCATGGAGGTAGAGAATTGTTAAATTCTGAAAGACAATACCCCAAAGACTGCTTTAAACCACAAAACATGGAGATGGTTTATGAAAGTAGGAATAATTAACTTTTAATTTAAAAAAAAAGTCACAGCTGCCATAAAGTGAGGAATATAAAGTTGATAAGACAATCCACTATTTATGGCAGCAGATAAATTCTGGCCAAACAAAAGTGGTGGTAAGAATTAGAGCCAAAAGTTGTTTTAAGCCAGAAAATAATTCACATTTAGCCTACTCCCACTGATCCAGGCTCAAACCTCCCACAGAACAGATTTGTGTTGCTAGGAGGTTTCCTGATCAGGACTCTTCTTGCTACAGGATGCTCTGATGAGCAATGAGGACTTACAAACTCCCCCAATTACAGGCTACAAAGAGCAGCCAGCAAGGAAAGGCCCAACAAAGAACTTGTTTAAGTTTGGGAATCACAGAGACCTGCCAGCTCTGCTTTGCAGGTATAAATTACAGTTTGAGGGCTGGGTGGGGATTAGAGGGCTGAATTCAGCTTGGCTCAGAAATTGCTTGAATTACATCCTGCTTTCAGGCTGAAATGTTTTGCCAAACTGAAGTAAATCATGAAGGAGAGGAGGAATGACCCAGTAATGCTATTTTGTACCAGACAAATATGTACCACATGAGCTACTTATTCTTATAGTTTGGGTATTACAAAGCATGCTCATACCTGGCTTTTTCCTTTCAACATCAAGAGATTGGTTACTTTGCCAAAGGGTAAACCTAAAGAAATTACTTCTGCTTCAGTGACATCATTTGGAATTTTACGAAGATGAAGGACTCGAGAAGGGGAACAGGGAGATCTGTCTCCTTTGAATTTCTTGTTGTCATTCCCATTAGCTAAAATAAAGAAACAATTCAAGAGATAACAATTTAAAAAACTGAGGCATTTGCAATAAGCAGTACTAACAACTCCCCCACCCTGGCTTGTTATTATTGCATTTCTTCACTTATCCTTAGTTCTAATGTTTGAAAGCATGTAAACTCCAGAAATTCAGAATTCTGATGTAAAAGAAATTAATCAGTATGATTTATTCCATTGCAACACCTGAGCATTTTTGTTTTGACTTGCAAGGCACTCTATGAAACCCTAGCAATTGAGCCAATATCAACCAAAAAGGCTGTGATGGTTGGGCCTATAATCACCAAACATATAGAGAAGTTTTACAAGCACAGGATCTAGCAATTAACTTCTTGGGAGCTCAGCAATAAGGTCCACTAATATTGATAAAAGCAACAATTGAACTACAGAAAGTACAATGTATGGATAAAAATGGGAAATTAAGAGTTAGAAAGTCAGTGGATGAATTAGGGTGATTCAGCAATGCTACTGTTTTTCACTATAGATCTTTTGTTAGTCTATAGCAGTAATGATGAACCCATGGCATGTGTGCCACAGTGGGCACACAGAGCCCTCTCTGTTGGCATGCGAGTCAAATTGTCCCAGCATCGCCCCAGCAGCCATGCCATTCAGAAAGAGTAATGGTGCCAGGTGACAATGTCACACATTAGCTGCAACTCGCTGCAAGAGGTGGCATCAAACAGGTGACCAGGGGCAGGTGCAACGGCTGCGGCGGGTGTGCCAGAAAGGGAGCAGGCAAGCAGCGAGCGGGTGTGCCAAGCGCTGGCGGTGAATCCCTCCTCCTGCCTCCTCCTCCCGGCTCGCAGCATGTGAGCAGTGCCTTCCTAGTACAGTGGTGGGACCCTGCCAACTTGGTAGCTGCAGGTGCAGCCAGACAGCTGTGTGCCCGCCCGCCCCCGAGCCGGGCTCCCATGCCACTGGTTGCGGGGGAGGCTGGGCAAAGGGAGCAAGTGACCGGGTTGAGGTAGTGGAGCAGCAGCTGGAGTGAGGAGGAGGAGAGAGAGGGTGCCCAGGATCGATACGGTGCTTCCGGGGGAGGGAGGCCAAAATGAGGCTGGAACTGCTGTGAAGTGAGAGGAGTGGGTTCGTGGCGGGGACGCACCTCCCCACCTCACTCCACTCACCAAGGCTTGGCAGCGCTGTGGGGATGCCTCAAGGAAGATCACAACAGAAGCATGGAAGGGATCAGCGATAGCCTCTCCTCACATTTATTTATTTATTTATTTACTTACTTACTTACTTACTTACTTACTTACTTATTTATTTATTTAAACATTTTTATGCCGCCCCATTCGCCGAAGCCTCGGGGCGGCTTACAACAAAAAGATTAAAATAACATTTTAAAATATATACAATAAAATACAAATATATAATATAAAACATACACTATAAAACAAGCCGCCCTGGCCAAATAAAATTCAATAATATTAACATTTAAAATACTGCTTAAATAAAAAGGTCTTCGCCTGGCGCCGAAAAACAAATAACGACGGCGCCAGGCGGACCTCTCTGGGGAGCGCATTCCATAACTTAGGCGCCACCGCTGAGAAAGCCCTCCTCCGAGTAACCACCCTCCTAACTTCTTCCATGGAGGGCTCCCGGAGAAGGGCCTCTCCCGCCGATCTCGGGGGCGGTTGGGCATATAAGGATGTAAGCGCTCCTTTAGTTTAGGTTTCTCTCCCCCACCCCCCGCATTCAACCCCTCCGTGCTGCCAAAGCTCCTGCAGCATTCCCGGTGGCTGATTTGGGGGTGAGGAGGGAGGGAGGGAGGGAGTGCACCCGGGCACAAGCAAGCCTGGTGTCCCCCGACTTGGGAGCACTGAATGTGAACATGGCTCCTTCTCTCTGTTGTGTTTTTCTTTTAAGACAAAAGATGTTTATATGTGAATTGTTTTTTTCTAAACTAAAACCTCAGTATTCAGGTTTTATTGCAGTGTTGGCACTTTGTAATAAATAAGTGGGTTCTGGGTTGCAGTTTGGGCACTCGACATAAAAGATTCGCCATCACTGGTCGATAGCATGACTGTGCAGCCAAGAAAGGCATTTGGCATTATCACACAGAGCTCTGTGAACAACTTCTACATTTTCCCAAAATGAGGGAAGGTTTCAAGTAATGGGCCGTAAGCTGTCTTGGCAGGAAGTGTCTGACATTTGTCTGGTAGGGAACAAATGACAAGCCATCTGCTCACCTGCCTCAAATTCAAGTGAGGAAGCCTCCACCACTGCTAGTATTTATTTAATTTTTTTGTATCCTGCCCTTTACAATGTCTCAGGGCAACAATAACATAAGAACAGGACACAGCACCACACATAAAATATAAAATCAATACTAAAAACAACACTAACATTTAAAATACTGGGAAAATAAAAAGGGGTTTGCCTGGTGCCAAAATGAAAAAAGCGTCAGCACCAAGTGTGCCTCTCTGGGGAGCTGATTCCATAGCCGGGGTGCCAACACAGAGAAGGCCCTCCTCCAGATAGCCACTCTTCTATTCTCCTTCAAAGAGGGCTCCCGAAGAAGGACCTCTGCTCCAGATCTTAGAGACTGGGTAGGTGTGTATGGAAGAAGGCATTCCTTCAAATATCCAGGACAACTGGCATGGAAAATTGGAAGGGAAATTACAGTGGCAGCAAAAGATGTGGTCATTTGGTTTAAGTCTACTCCATGGATGCTGTCTATGCATATGCCTGCCATGACCAGCCAAATTCACCCAGTAGAAGATCCCAGGCTGTTTGGGAGCTAACATCATTTATAGTCACTTCTTTAGAGGTTGATTACAAAGGTACACTTGAAAAAAACATGCAGAATGAGACAGAAGACTTTCTATTTCTCTGCTTCAGCCTTTTCTTTCACTGCAAATTCATGCAGAATTTCACTTGTTTTACATAGTTTTGCCAGATCCTCAGAAATCTGCTCAGATTGATATTGCTTGAATTGTTTAACTCAGTACTGGATGCTTTTTTCTTGAGCTACCCCAGGTATACGTCTGCCTTTTCCAGTATAGAAACCAGAGTGACAATATTCACATACTGGAAAAACTACAACTGCAAAAGAAAGTATGTTAATATTCCTGTGTTACTTACAGCTCTGTTTGTTTATATATTTATTAATTGGAAAGACTGTATTGAAACATATCCTTGCTCCCATTTCTCTCCCAAGTCTTCATAATACATTTTCAAATGATTACAGCATGTTGAAGGACTGACTGATGTTTAATGTTTATTTACATATTAAGAAAAGTCAGAAGTTAGTGTTAGCTATAGCTGGAGCTAAGTCTTCCAATGTGCATTCCTTTTGACCTCATTAAGATTCAAGTGAATCCAATATTTTCAGACAGGCTCTCCAAGTCCTACAAAACTTTTCACCAGCTCCTTTAAAACATAGCCAACTTTAATCATTTGGTTGCATCTACACACTTACAACTTCACAGCTTCTGCAGATAATTAATGGTGAGCTTAGTGAGTACGTAAAGTTGCCCAATTTTCTAATTATTATCAGAACTGCCCCAGGAGCTCAAGCCTCTCACTTGTCATTTACTTTTCAGTTTGAAGTGGCTATGAAAATCATTTGGCACCAATTATGCTTAGTGAAAACTACCTTCCTGATATAAAAAATATAGTTAACTCACAAAGGGAAAGGGAAAGAGAAGGAGGGGAAGAAGAGAAGAACATGCAAGCCTGTGGGAGTGGGAGGTTTATATGGTAAGCATAGCTAAGAACAACATTACTTCTATGTAAAGAGTTAAGAGCAGGCTCCAGTACAGGTCAATGGGAACTGAATTGATGACTTTATTATGTTTATAACTTCCTTCAGTTCTTGACTAATTCATATGATGAATTCTCACTTGTTGCTGATAACTCATCTGCCATGAACAGCTGTCCAAATGATCAGGATTGGTGGTTATACCAGTCCCCAAGTTGGTGTCTGCTTACATTAATATACTGTAGGACAGCTTTGCAAGTCCTTAGAAGTGATTGGAAGTTCTTGCTATAGGAGACCAGACAAATTATCTTTAACCTGCCATAAAACTTGTCCTTAGGCTTACCTGTAGCAGGAGTAGAATTGCTCATGGTAAGAGGCCCGTAAGCGAAACCAGAAGGAAGAAGCTCATCAGATCCACGCTGAAAAAAGCCCATCAAACAGTATAATATAAATATACCTTTGGCTCATTCTGAAACTCACAAACAAAATTATAAATACTTTTTGACAATGAGAGTTATGATGGGAAGATATCAGCCAGAGTAAAACAATATGTTTCTTTTTAAGCCAGCTTTATCATGGTTTGAAAGCCTCTATCTTCCCCCATTATACAATGAATTACCAAATGTTTCAAGATACTGTGCAAAGAAAAAACTCCACCTTACCAGTGTCTGAAAACAAATCCTTGAGGAACAATATTCCCATTAGAGGGGTTCTGCATTAAGACCATTCCCTTACCTATTTACATGTTATACAAAAATGAACAAGTCATTGAAGCTGGCCTCCTCCTATTTGCATCTGAAATCATTTTCAGTTTTGTACCAATGACAGATATGCAAGTCACCACTTCGCTCATAAAACCTTCTTTCAAATTTTCATATATGATCATTGACAAACCTTGTATACTTGCTTAACGATTTCTCATTGTGTTATAGTACTGGCCTATTGTTTTGCTACTTTATTTTGATGGGGGGGGGGCGGTTCTGTTTCTTTCTATGTCCTTTTAACTTTGTAAACTGCCCAGAGAGCCAACTATGGTTTGTTGCCCTGCCCAGGGTTTATCAGACGGATTATCAAACAAGTTTCTTAACCTCAGGGCTTGTTTCTCCTTTGTCCATTCCCTCCCTGCATCCTTAATGCCTTTGCAGTTCTGTAGAAATGACATAGGTAGCAGCCATTTTTATTTAATTATTCTTGCCAACTGCCCCTGTAGCCTGGCTACAACCCATGATTCTGGGTTTGCACATAATAGCCCATGTTTAAATAGTGGAGAGTTCACAACCAAACAACAAACATGGGCTCTTTTCTGGGTTGTACATAGTTTGTTAGAACTACTGGATTCACATGTCACAAGAACCCATGGTTAGATAAACCATAGGTTAGTGTTTTGTGCACACAAGTTCCTTGTGATGGACAAGGACAAAAATCTGTATTTGTTTTCTCCAAATGATGAGCTATGGCACAATCCACTAACATCTACTTGCCTAGCTACTACTTCCTGCATCCAAACCAGCAGCTTCAGTTTGCCTGGTGGCCTAACTATAAAAGCAGTAGCTAGTTATAATAGAACTTTATAAAGTCATTATCATTTTTCAAAAGGGAATGGGAGTACTAAATTAGCCACCTGACATGGCAAGTTGAAATACGATAATATTAGACTTTATAGTAAGATGATGTCAATGATTCAGCCATATTTGTTCTTCAAGAATTGCACTGTTCCAGAATGATTAACTTCTCATATATTCTCTGATGTATCAAAACTCAAAATTAAAAGTTGTCATTTATCTTAAAAATTAAAAAAGGAAAAAAATACCAGTTTACCATGCCACTTAAAATCAATACAGTATTTGACCTTGCAGTCAACACATAGCAGGAAACTTTAATTAGGCAAGAGTTAAAATAGGCAATTTGGTGAATCATATAAAATGACATGAAATATGAAACTTTTTAAAGCCAAATGACTAGTACAGGAGGAGGACGGAAAGCAATTCCCCCATCCCACCTTCAGCTGAAGGAATGCCAGCATTAAGCCAGAGAATCACTGGCTTATAACGGGACACAGGAGGTTCTAACCAGGGAGATAATTGACAGTAGCACCAATGCTTGGTCAGAGTAGAAGTGCCTCCAGCTCACCAAATGGGACTTTATGATCCAAACTATGATCTTGTTTAGCATTTGCCACAAAGCCCTTGACTATACAACAACAGAGATTTTACTGAAAATACTAGTTGGGTAATAATCAAGTAATTTCAGGTGTATTATGTTTCCATCTTCCAATCTCTTAACTATGGAGAAAACAAGGCATGTTCCTGAGCTAATGAAGTCTGACAAATCAGGGTGGATAAAGCTCAATGTCTTTACGAAATCATTTTTAACTTAAATCAGATTCTTTATTTAAATCAGATTTTTGGTTTCAATTAGATTTTTTAAAAATAAAATGCTTTTTGAGGAAAAATCTACCCAAAGATCATTTTCTCTTTAAGCAACATTCTAGTCCAAAGGTTATTCATTATGAAATAAAGATTTGTTTTTAATTATGTGACATGAAACTGTATATTCATGCAATGTTTAAAGCTTTTAGAATATGAATTCCATTAATCCATTCACAATGTTATGCTCTTCCAGAGGTTTCTGTAAGATTATTGGGCAATTTCTTTAATCTAGAAGGTATTATCACAGATGCTTGGTTTTACATTTCTCAAAAGTGTGGAATTGTGTCTGTAGAGATCACGTGCCTCTTCTTCACAGCAAAATTATTATAAACATACAGAGTTGAGAAAAAGACCTTAACCCCAGCGTTTCTTTGCAAATCTATGTACACAGAATCAAGCCCTTACCTCTTAAGTGCTATGTTTCAAAAATTCAATGAATAGAAGACAGTTGGGAGTGGAATACATCTGCACAAGAAGCTAAGTGTGAGGAGGGAGGGGCAAGCAGTAAAAAGGCAAGTGAAACCTTTTGAGTAGAATACTCCACAAGTCTTTGGATCTTTTTGTGTATAGCCTGATTTTTATCATATTATTCTTTCCCTGAAGGAGAAATCCTATAATGGCAGCAGGCCATAAAAGATACCCAGCGTGAGAATATCTTAATGAAATTCCTCCATCTATGCGTAAGGCAAATTATGTAGAAAAACTATTATTTAAATCTAGTCTTACTGACAAATCCATCCTGTGGCTAACATACAGAACAGAAGGAATCAGTTTTAATTTAAGCCAGCTAAGTCTTCCCTTCAAAAAACAAGGGTGGGGGGAGTGCAAGACTAGTGACAACTTTGTAGTTTATCTGTTACTGGGATACTCAGAACTACTGAAACATTTCTGTTCAGTTCTCAGTTAAGTGAAATCCTTTTTACAATTAAGTACAGAAAAAAATTGAAAGAAGGGAAAGGTTTATTTTAAACATGCAGTTGTACACCCACACATCACTTTCCAAAAATTAGGCCAAGAAACTAGAAACACTATGTTCAAAAAACTGATATAATGCATTGCAACTGGTTTGAAAGCTGACTGTGATATCCTACTATTTAACTTCCATACAGGGAAGGAGAACAAGAAGTAAAAAGGATCCTTTTTTAGTTGGTCTAAAAATTCTCCTGTTGCTGAAACCTCTTACAATCCCAATGTTCAGTATTTGATGAATCAATAGTTCAATAGTTAGATGAATAACAGAGTAAAAAACACAAACACCAAACCATATTTATGTTCCTATACTCTCATATTTAAATTAATATATGTAAATGTGGGATGCCTGATAGAATTTTGTGTTATACAGATTCTGCGTCCAACAGGTAGTATGCAATAAAATAAGAGTTACAGAAAACTCTAAAATAAGACTTGAACAAGGTACAGAAAACACAATTGAATTCAAAATCACATCAAGTTAGTCCTTGGAGAATATTGCAGAAGTTGAAAGCAAAAAACTAATCTGAACTATTACAGATAATAAAAACAAATACTTCAAGATTCACCCTCAGAGGCTTTGCAGATAGAATACCAAGAAGCCTAGTTTGTTTATTTGATGTATATCCTGCTTTTTTCTTATGAACTCAAAGCAGCTTACATCATTCACCTCCTCCTACTCTCATTCTTATCCCACAACAACTGTGTGCAGTAGGTTGGGCTGAGAGACTGCAACTAACCCAAAATCACTCAGAGAGCTCCATGGCTAAGTGGGGACTATAACCCAGGTCACCTAAGTTCCAGTCCAGCATCCTTAACCACTGCACTGCACTGGCTCATTTAATTTCAGTGAAGTGTTAACATTAGCATAATGGAACACTATTGAAACCTTGATAATGAAATGTGTAGAAGACCTCAGTGAACTAAATGATCTTCAGGTTTAAGTTACTGTGATGTAAACTGAGGAGCAAGACCAAAATGGCTGTTACCCTTCAGATGGGAGTTCTGGGGATATAATACAGCTTCCCCAAGAGTAGTGCAGAACTTTGAAATTAGACCCTTGGTGGGAAGTATGTGTCTAGGAGAGAGGACATAGGGCAAAGTGAGGGAATCTTTGGGAAACTCTATCAATGTAGTAACTGCTAGATGGAGATACAGCAGGAAGTAGGGCTAGCCAGGTGAGGGGAATACAGTCTAGAAAAGCTAATGGCTACCCTGTATCCTCTTCTTACTCACGCCTGCGGGTTTGATGGTAGCCCTAACTTGTCCTTGGGCCTCTGGGTACGCCTTTTAAATGCTAGATTGGTGGAGAACAGGACCTCCCTCATTCATGATGTAACAGAGTATGAGGCAGCTGCTCTGGCATGTATAACTGAGGCCTGGATATGTGAACAGGGAAAAGTTAGTCACTCCTAATTGTGCCCATCAAGGTACTTGGCTCTGTATCAGCACAGACTCACACATTGGGAAGAGGGTTTGTTGTGGTCTATAAGAATTTTATATCTCTCTCTATAGCCTCCCTATCTGTCCAACTATTGGGCTGGACTGTTTGCATCTTGCTTTGTGAAAACTGGACAAGATTTTGTTGGTGTACCACCACCCTTGCTGCTCAACAGACTCCCTGAGCTGAAGGAGGTAGTCTTGGATATGATGCTGAGGTCCCTCAAGTTGTTGGTTTTAGTTGACATAAACATTCGCGTGGAGAAAATTTTGTCTAGGAGGCTCAGGATTTCATGATGTACCAGACAACTGTGTGACTATCGCAACATGTCATCGAATGTATTAAAACTCACAGCCAGTTGGCAGTGCACTGACCAGCCATGGGAAAGCTTGGACGAGTCACGGCTAATGAGTCGTGGCTCATGACATCATCACCTGATGCTGCCATTCTTTTCCGAGCTTGTGTATGGCCCCTATGTGCGCAGTTATCCGATGCTTGGCTTCTGGGGCAACATGGTTCATGTGCCAACAGAGAGGGCTCTGTATGCCCACTATAGCACAAGTGCCACAGGTTCACCACT